AACCGAATGAGGCCCAGTAGTTGCACCAGAGGCACAACATCCTGGGGCCTACCAGAACCTTCTGGGTCCGGGCCAGTCCAGCCAGGCTGCCGAACGAGGCAGGCTCTTTCCATATAGGAAAGAGCTCGCTGCCTGGTGAGGGCATTCGGGCACTTGCTGGCTGGTGGCAGCGCTGCTGGAGCGATAGCTCGCGTGCTGGCTGCTGGCATTGGAGCAAGAGGCTGAGCACGTGCGGTCGTGTGGTGAAGCAGGGCGCTGCTGAGGGCAGTGCCATAGCCCAGCCTCCATAGCTGGCTGTGGGCTTGGACATACAGTGAGGCGCAAGGGTGGTCTTCGGGTGTACAACAAAGGGAGACGTGGGAGAGAGTCAAGGGGGAGAGAGAAGGATGATGATGATGATGATGTGAGGGCACATACCTGGTATTGGCGATGGTTCTGCATGGGCGACATCTTCAAGTACTTTGGGTGATGCTGGCGTCAACAGTTGCATTGTCAATTAGTAGGCTAGTAATAGCTGTGTAGGGAGTGGGTTGGGCATCGAGCGCCAGGTAGGGAGATAGAGACTGGATACATATGTTGGTGGTGGCGAGGGCAAGCTCTCATTGACATTGATTCTCAATGCTACGATTCTCCATTGGCTTTATATTGGTGCAATGCTGCTTCCTAAACACTGTGTTACGATTTGGCTTTCAATGTGATTGTGCAATCCTAATATTGTCATCTCGCTTCTGTTCATTTTCCTTGCATATATATCTATCTATATATATATATTATATATCGTCAAATATATATATATCTTAGGGAGGGATGGCGGTGCTTCATGTGGGATTGGTCATCTGGTTATCGTTTTGCAGGCAAGTGTGTTTTGACATCGTGGTTGGTCTTGTCTCGTCGTTTGGCCTGTAGTTGTCGGGGGCGGTGTTTGCATGTGGGACTTGTCATCTAGGATTGTCATTTAGGATTTGTTTTAATCTTGTCTGCTTCGATTTTGTTATTGGGCATCCTGGTTGGTTGTTTCCCGTTGTTCGGCCTTTTGAGCGAGGGGCGGTGCTTGTATGTGGGAATCGTCACCCGGGATTGTCTTTTCTTTCTTTTTGGTTGTCACACTGGGATCGGAGCTTTTTTTGATTTTTTTTGCAGACAAGAATGTGCGAGGCCTTTGCCTCTATGACCCCAATAAGGCCCCATTTTTGCAGCCCGTCGGCCGCCCTAAGTGAAGGCAGGCTCGACGAGGCCCTCCGGGCCCTTTTCTGGCCACTACGCAACTCAGGGAAATTCAGGCAGTTGCGCAGCGCCAGTTGGTTGAGTGAACCCAGGCCCTGGGCCGCCTGTGTGAATGAATGTGAAGCAGGCCCTGGGCTGGATACGGGTACCGGGCCAAACAAAGGCCGAAGGCAGTTGGGCACATGCAACCACTACAGGCCCAGGGCCTGCTCTCATCATGCTGGGCCTCAAGCTACCGGCGCCTACTGGAAGCTTCCTGGGACTGGACGCAGGCAGGCCACTTCGATATAGGGAAGGGCCTGCCTCCTCATTCGGCATTCGGGTGCTGGCTGCTGCGCTATTTGCTGGCTGGTGCCTACACTCTCACGGGCGAGCAGGGAAGGAGCGGGCAGCCATAGCCGAGCTGCTCCGCTGTGAGCTGGGTGTGGCGCAGGGTGGTCCTTGGGTGCTAGTGGCATCTGTGAGTTGGGGAACGAGGTTGTGAGTGTAGCGCGAGACATACCTGGTGCTGGAAGCGTGCGACATTGGTCGCCATATGCTCGTACTTCGGGAATGCTGTTGATGTCATCTTTCGGCTTCATAGTATACGCTAGATAGGATCTGCCACATGTAGTCTGGGCGCCGAGCGCCAGATAGGATATCAACTCTGGTTCTTCGTTGATGATGATGGGACTATTTCAACATTGTCAATTATGAACTCTTGGTGTGTTCTTATTTGGTGATTCTCGTGATGCAATGTTGCTGTTGGTTCGAGGTCAAAACTATCTGGACTCATATGTATGATGCTGTTTGATTGCTGAAGTTCGCTATTGCTCATCTTCCTTGCAAATGTTTTGACATATCCGTTTTGTTGCCCCCTGTTCTGTTTTATTTGGCTGTTCCTTTCCTCTTCTCTTTGCTTTTTCGCCTTTTGGCTGTGTGCAAGTGGGTCGATATGACACACGGGGGTGGGGGCAGCCGCCGCTCAACCTACATCCACGTGGGCGGCCTTGTACGCAAGAGGTTCTAAACAGGGGGAGTTGTAAGGAAGAAGAT